TTAATTAAAATCTCTTCAGTTGATAAGTTCTGAGTGATTTTTTATAGGTTTGAAGTGTGATAGATTTGTTCCCAGAAAAGCATACATTTGAAGTTCCAGAATATATATCAGCTGCTTATAACACTATTATGAAGTTTTATTGGAAAATATATTGAGTTTGAATTTAATTTGTAACCTCACTTAAGCTATGCATTCATTGCATAGCCTTGAACAAATGAAATTTCTCAGAACAATGTTGACATTGCATAAATATTAGATTCAGTGACTAAGAACAGAAGAAAAAACTATAATAAACTTTAAAAGTAGCAAGTAACATACTAATGGCCCATTTTATAAGATCATAGAAGATAAGGATGCTTCAGGTCTCTACCCTGATACAACAATGCCTAATTGGACCTTCTCTGTTGCTATGCCTGACCTTTGAAATAATGATGATCTTCTTAGCTTTCTATAGAGCCTGTAAAGATCTGGCTTTTCCCCTCCGATGAATTTGTACTGTGACATGAACATGAGGGTTTTTTTTTCATTTTTGTTGTTCTTTTCTGATATTTAGAATATCAGAGTCACCAACTATGACAGCTTAAATGACTCAAATAAATAAAAAATAGAAGATAAAAATCTGTTACATAAATAATCCTACTTCCAACTGAACTATTTAACATATCAATATTCTATACTATTTAAAAGACAGCTATGAATTTCACACAAGAGTGACTGCAAATATTGCCAGGCAGAACAATAGATATGCTATTGCATTAAACAATTACTACAGCTTCAATGGTTAATTTCTATCCTTTTTCTATTGATAAGTATTTTAAATAACACTTCATGGACGCAAAAGTGAGATGGAATACTGGCTACACAAAAGAAAGGTTGGGCAGAAGTTTCTTGAAAGTTAAAATCAATGAATTTCCTAAATGAACATATGGAGGAATCTGTTACTGAATAGTGAGATTTATCTCATAAATAATAAATATTACATTATTAATGAACTAACATTTAATACAAAACAGCACTTCAATACAAAGTAGATTAATATATTTTTGATCTAAGAATATTGAAAAAGATGCCAGTGTTCTTTTGTTTTTATTATATTTTGTGGGGTTGTGTGTGTTTATATGAATGGAAAGCCCTTGTACATAACTGGAAGCATGGAAGTATATCAGCTTACATTGCTTTTTCACATTTTTAAAAATAGTACTCTGGAGGAATAAAAATAATTGTGATCTGTCCGTACTGCACACCAAAAGACTTTCAGTGTGTGTGTGTGTGTGTGTGTGTGTGTGTGTGTGTGTGTGTGTGTGTGTATATATATATATATATATATATATATATATATATATATATATATATGTTTTCTGAGGTTTTTGCAGGTGTTTGTATGTAGGTCTTTGGTTACTGATTGTTCATACCCCCACTGGCAGTTCATACCCCCACTGGCAGTTAAAAGGAGGAAACAGCTACAACCACACATTGCTCCTAGAAGCACGAAGCCGAAAGCACCAGCCTGAAGATGACAAATGAGACTTCGTCGAAACGTCGCCAAGACACTTCCAATTTTATGTGGGAGAAAACCCGAATAACCAAAGACCTACCTACCTACCTACCTACCTACCTACCTACCTACCTACATACATATATATATATACATATATTATATCCCCTATGTTTTATACTACTCTTGTTTTTCAAAATTACTTATTTGATTTGCTATTTCATTCTGAAAGGGCTCTTTATAAAACAGGAAAATAAAAGCTCTCCTCTGTGCCAAACTAGAGAGTACACTGAATACACAGGTATTTGAAAAGGCTATTTAATACTGCCCCTTTTATTAGAAAGGAAACCCTGTGGTGAGAAGAGGTAATCGAACAATAATTAGCAATTGTTCCTCCTTTTCTTTGTCTCACAGCTGATGCTGAAAGAACACAAAAAAGCAGGAAGTTTCCAGCTCCTCCCCTCATCATAACACTTTGCTACTGAAAATGAAAAAGTAGTGTGGAAACAAGAGAGGGCAGCACCAGCTTTTATTTGTTCTTTCTTCCTTGGCCTCTATGGGTACTGCAGGGAGAAAAGATTTCGCTCAGGAATCTGCTTAGTGAGAAAAGAACGAAAAACTCTGGCCATGGTCACCCTCTGAGCTAAGCAACAGAGAGGGTTTTGGATATGCCTTATACTGAGTCAGAGTATTGGTCCAATTAATTCCAATAGTAAGTACATCAACTGAGAGCAATTTTTAGTGATTTAGAGGAGTGCTTTTCATCTTACCTGACTGAAAATATTCCAATGTCGTCCATGTAGTCAACCATTAAACTACAGTACTATCTCCTCCCCACTGCATCCAACTCAGTATAATTGAGCATTGCAGCCTACGTTGCTTGCCTCCCATGATGCTCCCGGATGTTTCTTCAATATCAGAAATTCCAAACCAGTATCAGAAAATGTAGCCAGCTAGCAACGGGTCAGGCTGCTGCTGAGCCTGGATTAAACCCATTGCAAGACGTGCATGGTTCTTCACCTGCTAATTGCCCTTCCCATCCAGGTAGGGAAGACAAACCTCACTGGCTGGTTTTGGTGTGGACCGGTCACCTGCCTTTTCCTTTTAGGAATTGCTGCTACCCCTTTCTTTTGATTTCCCAGAGATTTGTACACACCTTTGACTTTACTTCCCCCTCCCAATTCTCTTCTATGACATTGACGCAGACACTTTTTTTTTTCTTATGGTATCATCATAGCTCTGAGGATACAGTTCAGTTAGCTTTCGCTTATGACCGTAACTGGGACCAGCAACTTCCTTGCCAAGTAAAGTGGTCATTATGTGAGATATTACATGACTGACTTGTGATTTTAATGCTGGCTTCTCCACCGACTCTGCTTGTAATCGTAAATGCTCACCAGATTGTGAAGCACCCAAATCTTGATCACAGGACCATGGGGATGCTGCAGCGGTTGTAAACATGAGTTTATAAAATTCATAAAGTTACTTTTTCAGCCCTATAATTTTGAATTGTCACCAAACAAAGCAGTCATTAAACGAGGACTACTTGTAATCAAAGCAATAGAGACGTTGGTTTTCTTTCATTCCTATCTTCCTCAGTAAGTTAATAGAAACTCTGTAGCAGGAAACAACTCATGGTTCAGCTTCACAAAATTAAAGCAGCCCTTTCCTTAGTTACAACTTAAAGGGGAGATGAAGAGAGGGAAAAATAAAATACCTAAATACAATAACAACAACAAAAAAGGAAACTGCAGTTCTGTGGACTGGAATGCGAAAGCTAGGAATATGTTTTACCCAGCATGGGAACAAAGAGGAAGAGGGTCCATAGAAGATCTAAATATTGGTGTATAAGGTTGTGTCAAATATATGTTGGAAATGTAATCAATGTGAAGGTACTTTTTTTACCATCTTTGGTGGACATGTAAGACAGCTATGCAAATATAGGGTTCAGATATGTACTTTAATTCAGAGAATTCTTACAATAAATGTACAATTGAAACCAGAGGGGGTTTGATAAATAGAAAAAAACCATGGGATTTTGTTTTATATATAACAACAGCAGCAAGACTTTTGCATGCAGAGCGATGGAAGGATTTACAAATTCCTACAACAGAAGAATGAATGATAAGGTTAATGGAGTTGGCAGAGTGGGCAAAACTGATTGCTTTGATTAAAAAAATAATTAGTTGTGTCTACTTGAAAACCTCTTTTGGACTTTTTGCTTGAAACTGAAAGAAATAACTGTAAGATGTAAAGGAGGAGGGTCAATTTAAAAAAAAAAAGAGCTTTGGATAGGAAGATACATTATGGGACTTCCACCTTTTACTTTAAGGAGACCAAGAGAGAGAGAAGCAACTACACTCACATTATTAACATAAATACTACTCTGACCCTCAAATAAGATTAGGTGCAACCAAGTGAATCCTTCATAAAATCCGGACTGCTCTTGGAATAAGATATAATAAATACATTCTTTTTGTTGCATTGGCCAAGTCACAGAATGCAAAGCAGCATATTATACAAAGAAGAAAACCTGAAGGATTGTATAGAAGTATTGACTACAGCTTTCTTTATCACGTTTCTCCTGTATAGCATAGCTGAAGGAATGAATGTTAAGAAAAGCATGTTAATTACAGGAAAGAAATACCTTATCCTACCAATCCCTCTTGTTCATGTTTTCTGGGCCCTGTTCCTTCAGATAATAGCAATAGCAGTATATTTTGTTCTCTCTCTCACCATTCCTCCTATTAACTGATGAAGCAACAGGATTGTGGCAGGAGCATAATTCTCTACCATGTAAATCTGGACGCCTACCACTTCTGGATAGCAAAATGGTACAGCTACAGCTCAGAAAACTGAATTTTCTTGGAGGGCAAGTAATTTGTCGTCAGAGGCATGTAATCTACCAATTTCCTGAGATTTTTCTGGACATGAAAAGCTATGTAAATCATGGCTGCTGCTGTGTAATTTCTTGCTTGCCAGCTTAGCCTCACTTTTTGGGCAATATATGCAATGTTTAAAAGGGACACTGAGTGAGTCAACCAAAAAAATAAGGTAACTGTCCAGTTTCTTCATCTTACTATACAGAACAAAGAAGAGCAAACAAATAAGAGAGGGGTTATCGAGAGAAGAGTTTATCTGGAGAGGAACGATCAACCTAACTCGCTCCTTAACCTTCTTTTCTTTGGTGATATGGACCTCTGAAGCGATTCAGTGTAATCTTCCCAACACCATTCAAAATGATAGTACATCTGAATATATAGATAGCAACTGACACCATCCTTCTGAGATGTCCCTGTATGCCTAGATGTCTAGGTAAAGAGAGCAATGACAACTGCTCTTGCTTTCTCAATGGGCAGCACTGAGGCCAGCCCCTCCTTTTCCTGTTATAACCAAAGCTGCACCTTTAAAAGTCAGGAACAGGAGTTACTGCTGCTTGTGCTTATCTATTTCTTAACTCTTAGAAGCAACAAAATATTTGGAAAAACTCAAAAAGAAATCTCACCTTGGAGAGAGAGGACACTATGGGGAGGATTTCCTGCCAAGAGGTCCCTCATCACCCCTGTTAGTTTCTATTCTCTATCAAACATAAAAAAGAAAAGAAGATAAGATTCTATTCACTCTCCTCTATGATTGGTTCAAAGTAGAAGAGATGATGACTGAAATATGTTTGACCTCTCATGTAGTTCAGTTATCAGTTTATATTTTTCTCTATAGCAGTGGTTCTCAACCTGTGGGTCGGGACCCCATTTGGGGTCGAATGACCATTTCATGGGGGTCGCCAAACCATGCTGTCCACCATTTTTTTCCCTTTTCCCTAGCTGTCCTACTCCCTCTTATTGGTGGCCACACCCACTTGGGGGTCACCAAATATGGGGAACTGTATTATGGGGTCACAGCATTAGAAAGGTTGAGAACCACTGCTCTATAGGGACTGTTGGCAGAATAGAAACATGTGAATTCAAAAGCATGGTTTCTTGATATGATATGGACAAAACTATCCCCAACTGAAGACTTGGAAATTATTTACTTCGGTTTGCCTTCCCCGCATAAGACCCTGCTGAAACAGGTTAAAAAAAATGGGTGGAACTTTCCTTTTTGCCCTCAAGATTTTGAAATCATTTGCCCCTAAAAGTTGTTCAACCCACCCACCCACCCACCCGTAATGTCTCGCTCTACCCTCCGATCAATCACTCCAGTTGCCAGATAAGAGCACCAGCAGCCACCAACACCACCTCGAACGGGCTGCCAATAGTGAAAGGACACAGCGCCAAGGGAGAGGCAGTGATGTCGACCGAACCGGGCGTAACATATGCCGTTCGTACCGAGTCAGAGCTCAGGTCCAGCCAGCCCGACGATGCCTGACGACAACCGACCGGGGAGGGGGCGCCGGACTGGGCTCGGTCCCCACGGACTGAGACGGGGTTTGCTTCACGCGCAACGGGCTCTGCGCAAGGGTGACCGAGGGCCCCCTTTTCCAGGCACCAGAGCGCAGAAGAGGCGCGCCGCGGCAACAGGGCGGGGGGAGTGCCAAGACAGGAAGCTGCCTGGAGCCCCAAGCGGAGCCTCTGCGGTACCCGCGCCCAGCCAGGAGGCCGAAGAGGCGACGCGATGCCGGGGAAACTTTCCAGGCAAATCGCCGGGTGGGGGAGGGGGGCTAAAGCCCTAGAGGGGCGCTGCTCCTGCCGCTGTCATCGCCAAGCCCCTCGGCCGCCCCGCCTGCCCGTCCCGCAGAGAGCCTCACCCCTCCACTCCCGCCTCACCTTCTCTGGTGCCCCCGGGCGAGCCGCTTCGCGTCTTTATCGAGCTCTCATACACTCTCGAGCCGCAATGGCCTCCCTCAGCGCCTCACAGGCCGCACCAGAACCAGGCAAGCTGATGAGCACCCGTGCCACCCAATCACCGCAGAGGTTTGGCAGGTGTCTACCAACCAGCTTTCGGAGGCGAGTCCGAAGACCACTATATAAAGTAGGCGCGACAGGCGCCTTCCTCTTAAGAGGCTGGGGTGGGGGGCCTGTTCTGGGGCCAAAGCGATCTGCGTCTGGGAGGCTGAAATGCCACACGACTTGTGCGTGACTTTGGCTAAGACGAGTTTTCCGATTCGGTGCTCAGTTTGAAAATACATCATGACTAATGTCTGCTCCCCGGTAACCGTCCACTTTTCGCAACAGCAGAAATGGTACATATCAACATAAGACTACAAGAAAAAAATCTGTATTTAGTGCACTAATTTAATTATAGCATGAGGTAGGGTAAAGGCATGTACGATGGGCAGAAATAGGCATTGTTAACTCCTGTATCTGTAGTTTTCTCAGCCCCATTTTCTATAAGATATACTTATAAACTGATATACTCAGGCCAGGTTCACATAATAGTCTAGATTAAAATGTGATTGGATATATTGTGATATAGTGTGCTGTCTAATGACAGATCTCATAAGTGAGTACTTTGATCGTTAGACTAATACATTCTTTTTATTTACTTATTTTCCCACTCATCTTACTTACAATAATTCTGGGTGGTTTATAGCAAAAACTTAAAAAAGAAACATGAGTTCAAACAAAGGGGGGGCGGTTAGCCCATGTTACTGTACAGCTGCCTTCAATTGAACTCTCATGTTTTTGCTTCAATCTTTGGCAACAATCTTATTGGGCCAAACCCACATCTCCAAAACCATGAATACAAAACTGAGGCTATCTGGCTTAGAACAGCACAAAAGGTATCTGTTGCAGCCACAGTTTACCGCCTTACCAACCATTTTTCTACACCAAACACAAACTAAGAATGTAAGCTCATGAAAAATTTATCCCTTTGGGGGAAACTATGCTTAATGCTACCTATAAAAGAAAAAAAAAATAAAAGCATCTGATTTAATGAAGCAGGATGGACAGAGAATGATTTTTGCCACTTGAAGCCTAGTTTCCCTCTTATACTGCCACCTCTACATTTGGCTACCTGGCAGTGGGCACAACATATACCACCCTACCCTCTCTTTGCAGGGCAAATGATTGGTCTTAGAAAGAACAGCTATCTCATCCTATTGCTCATCTGTGTTCTCTCTCCCCAGAGAATGAACATTAGGTAATGGCTACTTCTCTGTTGAAATGCTCATTTGTCTTCTTTTACTTCAGCACCTCTCCTTCTCTACAGACAATTGTGCCTGCCAGAATATGCTTGATGTGGGAAACAATTGTGCCTGCCAGAACATGCTTGATGTGGGAAATAAAAGGTGGTCTTCCCTGACATGAGGTAGAGAGGGAAGGAACAAATGAAAATGAGCAAGCAAAATATGGTTGCTCATTTGAATAGCAGTCATCATCTCTTCTGATCACATACCCTCTTGCTAGTTGGTATGAAGAATTAGGCTAGCTGTTGCACTATCCTAAAACAAGTTGCTTAAGAGAGATAGGAATAACCACTTTCCCCAGTTGCACTAAGAAGCTGTAGGATTTAGTAGATGGGAGGTAAGACTGCAGAAGACTCTTGCATCAGGAACCTCTGTGCCTTCTTTTCCCAACTGAGTTTCAGGGTTGGGTAAAGGAAGAGGAATTGATTTGTTTTAATTATGGGTATTTGCCCAGTATCAAGGTGGCACTGTTATGTATTGTTTTTGAAATTTGGGTTGAAGTTTATAATCTTCATAGAAAATTATACTTATATTTTTATGAAATCCAAGAATGTCTTTGGGAGGATCTATTGAAATGAACTGAAAATACAAATTGGTAGTAAAGAAAAAAAGCAGAGATTCTGAGGAAGAATGGTATGGATCATACAGACACAAACCTGTTTGTTACACTGCTCTATTGTACTATATTTAAAATATTGGCCTTCCTTCCTTCCTTCCTTCCCCCCTTCCTTCCTTCCTTCCTTCCTTCCTTCCTTCCTTTCCTTTCCTTTCCTTTCCTTTCCTTTCCTTTCCTTTCCTTTCTCCTTCCCTCCCTCCCTCCTTCCTCTATCCTGGAGGAAGATGCTGATTAAGGTAACATTTGGGCAGAAAGATTTTCACCAGCTATGTTTTAAAGGGCTTTTCAAAAATAATGAGTGGCTGATTTGAAGATTTGAAAGTAGATGGCTGGTGGCATTATTTTTGTTAAATAGAGAATGGAAGGAAATGTCTGTGAGATATTCTTGTACAGTAAGAGTTGCCTCAGGGAACAGAGTAAGAAAATCTTAATCTCCCACTTAAGTATACTTTTTTAACAGCTGGACTTTCAGGGTCTAACAACCCCCCCCCCAGTTGCTTTACTTCCACATATATGTTAATTTTTTAAAAAGCAACCCACCTTCTGATTAGGACTGTTATAAAATGTTATGTTCTTGGTCTTGATTTTGGTGCCTGGCAAGGTGTTTCTTATTGTTTTAATTTTAAGATGTATTTCTACTGGGTACGGAGGGTCATATTTTCAAAGGCAAGTGTGTGGCTTACCCTTGATCCAAAGCCAAATATGAAAATCTATCAAACTTTTCTGCTTTTCTTTTTCATTTTAAATGATGAAAATAGTAGGGATTTGTAACCTAATGTCATGGGCACCAGTACATTCAGGGATACTTCTCTTAGTTCCCACTACATATTGCAGAGAACTTTTAAGTCTATGATAGCCAAAAATTAGGAGATGCCTCATAGCACCCTTTCGGATTAATACTTTTTATTAAAACACATTAAGTTTCTACAAGTTTTAGTTTACTTCATCAGATTTATGCAGTGGTTGATCGATGTATGATTTTAAAAAGTTATGGCAAAAGAAGTTGGGAGAAACGATGATTATAAAAGTTACATGTGAGACACATTACAAGTATCACATCATTTACTTAAGACCTAATATCCCAGGAGGCAGACTTCAAAGTCAGTATTTAAGAATAAAACTCATCAGCATTATCGAAGCTGGCAGGCATAGTCAATAACCCCAAAGACAGGCTCAAGATACAGAAGAATCTTGACATACTTGAACACTGGTCCTATCTAACAAAATGAAATTCAAAGGTGAGGAAGGTAAACTTACATTTAAGCAAGAAAAACCAAATGCACAGGTATAAAACAGGTGATACCTGGCTCAATTGTAGTAACAGAGAGGGACCTTGGAGTCTTAGTGGACTCCCAATATTAGTCATTTAAATATGAACCAGCAGTGCACTTCAGCTGCCAGAAAAGCCACAGTAGTCCTAGGCTGCATTAACAGAGGCATAGAATCAAGATCATGTGAAGTATTAATACTTTATAATGCCTTGGTATTATTGCATTCAGTTTTGGTCACCACCAACATCTATTAAAAAGATGTTGAAACTAAGAGTGCAGAGAAGAGCAACAAAGATGCTTAGGGGACTGGAGACTAAAACATAAAAAACGGTTGCTGGAATTTGGGTATGTCTTAATGAAGAGAAGGACTAGAGGGGTGACATGATAGCAGTGTTCCAATATTTAAGGAGCTGCCACAAGGAAGAGGGGATCATCTATTTTGTAAAAGTCTAAAGCAGCTGAAGACAGGAGAAAAAGCAATGTATGGAAACTAATCAAGGGAGAACCAGCCTAGAACTAAGGAGAAATTTCCTGACAGAACAATTGATCAGCGGAACGAGTTGCCTCCGGAAGTTGGGAGTGCTCCATCACTGGAGATTTTTAATTAGAGATTGGACCACTATTTGTCTGAAATGGTATAGGGATTCCTCTTGAGCAGAGGGTTGGACTAGAAGACCTCCAATGTCCCTTCCAACTGTGTTATTGTTATCTCAGATCTTAACACAATGGGTTTTTAACAGATGCTACATGCTAATTGAAAAGTACTTGCAATCTCTCTAGTGTGCAACCTGCAACTGTATCATCACCATTTCTTTACCCGTATGCTTCTGGCTCATACCTTTTTTAAAACAAGGTATAGTGGTTAAGATACTAAACTAGAAACTGGGAGGCTAGTCCTCTCTTACGCATCAAAGCCAGTCAGGTCACTTTGGGCCAGTCATTCTCTCTTAGTTCAAACTACCTCAAGGAGTTTTTGTGGGAAAAGTGAGATTTGTACGTTGCTTTGAATTGCACCAAATAAAGATGGACTATAAATCTGATTAGTGATCAAGCTACATCAATTCAACCACTATACATTTGATTATGTTAATTACAACTCAATAAAGTGTATATTTTTAATAAAATTTGTGAATTGTAAAAGGTATTTAATCCCTATAAAGCAGTGTTTCTCAACCTTGACAATTTTAAGGCATGTGGACTTCAACTCCCAGAATTCCACAGCCAGCATTGCTGGCTGTGGAATTCTGGGAGTTGAAGTCCACATGCCTTAAAATTGTCAAGGTTGAGAAACACTGCTAAAGACTTGTTGTCCTAAAGTAGAAGGCTAATATGAAACAAACAAAACTGTCAATCCCTAGCATCACCTATATTGTATTTATAAAGTATTTCAGCCTTAAACATATCTCTATGCATTTTTATATGGTACAATTTAAAATTGTTTTTACATGCCCAGATAGGGCAATAAAGCATCCTGGTAAGCTGAGGGCAACAGAAGGGATCAAAATAATCAATTCAACTTCTGATAAATGGATTTTTGTGCCTGATCAGATTAAAACTAACTAGAATCCCACTGGGGATTGGGGTTTGCGTTCTTTTCAACAGTCCTCTAAATTTTTGCTTACAACCTGCCACTGACTCCAGACTTTAAAAATTAAATGTGATCCATTCTGCTTAGTTACAGAATATTGTTGACAGCTTTTATACATAACAGTTCTAGTAAAAAAAAAAAAAAAAACAAGATGCAGCAAAATAAAGACATTTTTTGTAATCAATGATTTCTTTAATTGGCATAGTGTTTTGGTTGTATGATAATTAAGTAGAAATACAAAGTATGCAATAAATGTATAGGGTTAAATAAAACTATTCAAGAAAATAATCTGAGGCACGTATAATGTATTTTATCTAAACACAACAGTTTAACAAAAAAATTCCAATCAAGTTTAAATGATGCTTGAGAAGTTTTCATTAACGATAGTACAGAAATATAAAAAGTTAGGTAAATGCAATAGAAATTCAGTTAAAAGTACAACTGCCCAAAGTAAAATAGTCAATATACAAAAGACTGCATTCACATATTATGTTTAAACCAGATTCATTCGTGATCTTTAAACACTTCTGCTTGGCTCTCCTATAGCTTCCAACTCTGGTTTGTAAGCAGGCAAAACGACGGAGAGTTCCTGATTTAGTTATGTTAACCAAACCACAGAATGGGATTCTATGGTTGTTTGAACTGCTCTGGCAGGAGGCTCAGGTGAGAGTGACTGCATCATTTATTCTGCCTTAGTGAGATGTGTAAATGCAACAAATCAATACAAACTTAATGAGCCTAGGATTAATTCTTAGGCATTATCTAAGTAGAGGTAATCCATAGGCTAAATAACTTAAATGCTATACATTTGTGTATATATAAATAATTTGTATTTAAAAGCATGGCAACCATTGTATGTACACATACCCAGAAGCAAATCCTACCAACTTCATAAGGACTGTTTGAGTAAACGTGTAGCATCAGGCTGCTCATAGTGTTGATTTATTCACAGTAACTCAGAAAGAAAGCTATATACATATATTGCACAGTTGTAAAAAAAACTCTCACTATTCATTAAACATATGTAAACAACAGTTTTTTTTTCTTTCTTTGGCAATTTGATTAGTTCAGTAACACTACAAGGAAGAGCACTTAGTAAGGTATGTGACAAATATTTAAAGGCACATTAAGCAGTTTTTTTTTTCAAAAGTAAGGACATCTTTCCAAATAATTTCTAGTGAACAATATACTGGTTATCAGTTCATTACTCTCATATTAAAAAAAACTCACAGTAAAAAAAAAAGTTATGGTTTGAAGTGAAGGGTCAGAGTAATTAGAATACTTGTTTGAAACCTAAAACAAGATAAACAAACCAGAATCAATCTCTCTGTCAAAAAGTAACCATGCGTTGTCCTGTGAACTCTTCCTAATTGCTTTCTCTACCATTTCCTAAGCATCCACATCACATAAAGGATGGGACTGCCTGTAGCAATGGTAGGTGTGCCCCTATATTTTATATGGGTGGTTGTGCCTATATTTCTAAAGTTGTTTGTTTATTGTGCATTTTCCCTGTGTTCTTGTGGACAATGGGCTTGTTGTATGTGTTTTATACTTTTTGAAAAGAAGGATTGTATATGCTTTGCTTCTGGATTGCTGCATTTTAAAAAAATGTACATAAGGTTTTGTGATTTTTATTAAGATGTGCTTTCCTAATGACATTTTACTGAGCCTCATTAGTTTCCCTTCTGAGAAATGGAAATTGAAATTTTAGGAAAATGAGATGCTTGGTTTCTGCCTTACACATAGAGAGCTCACCTTGGAAAGAAAAATATTAACAGGAAAATTAAGGATTTGGGAAAGAAAAGAAGAACAGTTTATTCTGATGAATGGTACCTTTTAAAACTACTCTTAAATTGCACTGACAAAGTTCAAAAACTCTGAAGTCCGAGTTTAGACATAACAAGTTGATTAAAATAAATCAGGATTTGAAAATCAGTTTCAGATCATGGCTTCAAACTGCCAAGAAAAAGCCATGTGGTGAGTTTAGCCACTGAAACTAGCCAAAGTTAGGTTAAACAAAGCCTAACTTAGCATTATGACATGATCAGGCTATATTTCATAATACAATACTTATTCCACAGTCACAGATTTAGCCAAATTTCTTGGGAAATCCACCTGAAAAAGAAAAAAAAAGTTTTCATCATACAACAATAGAAATTATCCTATTTTAAAAGGGAAAAAATGTCCTAATTGCTATATGCCTTCCCAAACTATGTAAATATATGCCAAACCACTAACATCCCTGGGAAGCTGGCTTAGTTTGACTTCTGCTTGACTCTATCTTCTCTTTGTTTCATTTCATTTGTACCATGATCCTAGACCCCATCTTCATTGTCAACTTTTCATCTGTTTGTGATCTTTTTACATGCTAACAAAATGACAGTGAAGATCTACAGTATTCAACAATGGTGATTCTGCAAATACTCTTATCACAATCACTGCTTGGCTTTTATTCTTATGTTGTTGTTGTTAATTGCGAAGTCGTGTCTGACCCATCACGACCCCATGGGCAATATTCTTTCAGGTCTTCCTGTCCTCTACCAATTCTTATATTTTGGATAATAGGAATTACACACCAAGCAAGATAGTTAGTTTTATCTTTACTAAAGTTTCTGGCTCAAGTTAAAACACTGGTGTCAAACTTGCTGTGTCATGTAACATGTCACGACATAGCGTGACTTTTTTCGCATTGCCAGAGCTGGAATGGACACGGCATCCGCATGAGGCAACCTGTCTGTGGACCAGCAGTTTGACACCCCTGAGTTAAAAGATGCCTAAACTCTAATCATTTCTTAATCTTTATAGAGACCACAATCTTTATAGAGACCACAATTATTTATAGCTATTTGTTTAAAGCCTATCACTCATTCTTGTCACCAATTTGAAGAAACCGAGAAGTATCCAACTGTGCTTGCAGCCTTGCTTTAATTGAAATGACTAAATATGGAAGTAACTTACATCATATCCTCTGAGAACTGCCAGGTGGAACGAAAGCAGCTGTAGAGGGATCACACTCAAAACTCCCTGTAGACAATCGACTGTCTGTGGCAACTCAATTGTTTTGTAAGCAAATTTGGAGCTCTCTGTATCTTCTCTAGAACATAAAATAATAGGGCGGCCCTAAGAAACAAGTCAAGTAGTGTGGATTAATTTTAATGATTAATCAATTATTGATTGTACATAGTTTTAATGTATTTTGCAAACACATTTCCAACATTAGCAGGTTATTTTTAGTGATTTAATTAATTTTTTATGCCACCCATCTCCCCCCTTCAAGTTAGGTTTTTAAGTCACCCAAAGTCACTGAGTGTGAGTTGGGTGGCCATATAAATTTTCATAAATAAATAGATGTAGCAAGAATATTAATAAAACAACACTGAAAATACCACTGTATTTAAACTAAAAGAATGCATAATTGGTAGGTACTGATCATTTTGGCTTCAATCTAAAATGCAGGAGTCTAAATGCTTTAGTATCATTACTGGTAAATGTTACAGCTACAGTAACCCAATATAATATTACATGTAGTCCTCAGGTTACGATGGGAATTGGGACCCAGATTGCCATCACTAAGTGATGCAATTGCATTGATTAGTGATAGCAATCCTGACAGTCCCAATTGCGATCATAACTTCAAGATGTGTGGGGTCACTAAGCACAAGTGGCGAGACCCTCAGGTAAGAAGCTTGGGGTGCCGCACTGGGGTGGGGAAGAACGGGGAAGGCTTCGGAGGCTTCATTCAAATCAAGGGAGAGCTTAGAAGACCCAGTGCAGGCCTCACAAGAGCCAAGGGGAAGGTGGGTGTATAGGCTGAAACAATTTACCAGAATGACTTGGGACTTTTCCTGCCAGGTTCCCCGTTTACTTTGCTTGTGGGAAGCTGGCAGGAAAAGTCCCCAGTGGCAATCACATGATCTTGGGATGTCATAATTTTGAGCTGGATGCCCTAGCACCTGGATTGCAATTACTTGATTGTGGCTGGGGTGCTACATGTAGCTGAAACTTCAGACACTGCTTATACATCCATTTCTTTCAGTGCTGCTGTAACTTTGAACCGTCATTGAATAAATTTACATAAGCCAAGGAGTGTATTACTATTATTACTAGTTTACCAAATAGAAAACATTGTAACAGACAATATAAAATATATTGTTTGAGATCCAATGCAATGTGATCACAACAATGTCTAAAAAGGGTTTTTTGGGGGGGTAAGGTGGAATAATTAAAAAAATACAGAGAGATATTACATGCACAATTTATCAAAAATTAAAGCCTGGAGAGAAAAGAGAATTCCTAGTAAAAGCCACAAAAGCAGAGAATGCACTGCTACTGAAAGAGCAAAAAAGGAAAATCAACATTCAAGAAATGCAACATCTCACTTTCTCCAAGAGGAATAAGTAAATTTAATGAAGGAGAAGTAGTGATTGAGATATTCTTAACGTAACTGATGACTTTATAGACAATACAGAACAAATGGGAATTGTATCCATTATCCATGAATTTATTATTATTAAAAGCAATTTTAATAAGAACAATTTCATCACATCCACTATCAGAAGCACACCAGTCAAGGACACTAGAAAACTTTTTGGCTAATCCCAAACTCTTTGTGAAGAGAGATCATACTAGCTTGACTTCAGTTCTCTTGTTTCTTTGACAGCTATGGACTTATTGGCTGTTTTAGGATGCCCTTAAGAGATAAAATCTCCTTTGAGTAAAATTCTGTTCTTGGCAAATTCATGGAAATATCTACATAGTTTCTTGCAAGTAATTTGCTATTGCCTTTTTGAGAATATTTTTTCAACTTTTTGATTTAGCTAACAGCACTGAAATTCCCAGATTCTAGCTAATTAAATATAGATGATTGAAACAATAACCAAGAAGAGGGGATTTTTCCTCTAATGGGGATTTATCTTGTTTTTATATTAGAAGAGAGTGGTAAAGAGAATCATTAGCTATTTTCTACTTCTGTCATAAAAATATAAATTCTTGGAAAAACATAGCATCGGAATACTCTGCTAGCAAGCTCCTTATCAGTTAGAACTAGTTAGCATTTGAAGATTTTAAGGATTTAAGAGGCAATAATATGTGCTCTTCAAAAGGTAGTTTTTACAAAATTGTCTTTTTTCTCCCACTCTAAGCTCTAATCTGTTTACCGAGCTTTGAAGAATCCACTTCAACTGTAAATTACATATTCCCAGTGATCTTCCAGATAATAATAGTATGGCAAAATTATACAGTTCTTAATGTATTATTAAATTATTAATATTGTACACATTGAGTCTCATAGTTTTAATGATTCAAATAATTTTTATGAAATTAAAACGTGTAAGAAAGCTTGATAAGATTAATCCTATTCCTGAAACATCAAACTCCAATTATCAATTATATAGTTCAAGCCTTCAGTAATAAATTTTATTTAAAATATAAACTTTTCTGAGAATTAAGATTTATAGTCTACTACTGTTTGATCCAAACATTAAGGTTTGCAGCACATCATTCTTCAAACAATCTTTCAAATTTAAATGCTTTTTATAAGGATTCAATTCACAGATATTCCCCAGATCATCTTGCTCATGTATGTTCAGTTAGTTTAATATTATTTTGGTCTTTGCTTAAGTGCGACTTCTCATCTAGCTAGCTTTACAAGTCTCAGTAGACTTCTTAAGAATTCTAATAAAGTTAAAATTATTCTTTTGACATCTGTGATAAGCAAATAAAAGCAATTCTGTTTAGACAGTTTTTTGACCTTGCATCTTATTGCTGCTGAAATATGGTACATTATTAGTGGAATTGTTATTAAATGAATTCTAATGATTTAATTATAATTTTATCAGCATTATATATTATACAGTTAGCCATCTGCCACCACTGCTGTGGTGGCGCAATGGTTAGAATGCAGTATTGCAGGCTGACTTTGCATTCCACTGCCAGCAGTTCGATCCTGACCAGCTCAAGATTGACTCAGCCTTCCATCCCTCCAAGATGGGTAAAATGAGGACCCAGACTATTGGGGGCAATATGCTGACTCTGTAAACAGCTTAGAAAGAGCTGTAAAGCATTGTGAAGCGGTATATAAATCTACGTGCTATTGCTATTGAAGGAGCAAGTATAGTGAAAAAGCATGAAATATATTTCATTAATAAATATTTTTATTGTATTTTATTCTCGCAAGAAATGTACAGATTAAACATAAAGATAAAATACAAATTACAGCGTTTACCTGTCGGGCAGTGACCTGCTGTAAAGCATTCTGGCACTTGGTAAAGCAGGGATCCTTCATAATTATCATAATAACAGGCATTTGTTTATCTATAAGAGCCAATGGCCCGTGCTTCAATTCCCCAGCGAGGATGCCTTCAGAATGCATATATGTAATCTCTTTGATTTTCTGCAAAGCAAATGAAAGAAAATCGGGAAGGACAAAATAAAAATGTATTATGTTGCTGATAACAAGCACAGATAAATGACACTAAAGTCAGAACCTCAAAGTTGCTTTTTGCATGCCCAAATTTTAATTAGTAATCATTGCTATGATACGCAATTTTTGAATTTTTTGAATTTAGGTACTGTACATATACAGTACTAATTCTTAAATGCAAGCTAACATCAAATATGTGTTGAGTCTAAGATGAAGAATCCCAATTAATAACCTCCATTAAAACATTAATCATGTATCTTTTCAGTACACTTTAAAATTTATTCTACGGATTTCTCTCTATACATTTCAGTTTAAGGAACAGAAGTTGCAAAGCATCAATAGTATAGATGTATTGGTGAACAAATACATCCTGATCTGAAGGACATATCAATCTTTTTACTTTCTCCAAAGCACTATTTACAAATATTTTTTACCTATAGCTATAACATTTAGTTGTACTTTTGAAAAACTCAAAGTTAAGGATTCATACCAGTGCCCCTTCCAAGCAAGTGGCATAATTGTATCCTCGACCCATAACCAAAAGTGATCGTTGTTTATATAGTTCAAGCGCCAGATCATGTATTTTCTCATCCAAAGACAGTACTTCTTTAATCATCTCTGCAAAACAAATTAAAACTGAGAATTAATTTCATTCTTGCAATACTATCAAATTTCAAAATTTGAAATATTTCAAAATATTAGTTGCAGATTTAGACAGAATACATCAATTGATTCCTCTGCTTTACAGTATAAAAATATTATTTTACCCTTTGATAGCAGCTAAAATTTTCATGAAATTTTACAGAGATACAAGCTTCAACAGTTCTTTATCCTAAAGCCCTGAATAATAATTAGCCTTCACTAAGGGCTCACATTTTCCTTAGATAGTCTCAACTGGAGTGCTAAATAGTTCTTATTTAATGTAAGTTACCAAGCAGTTTTTTAAATTATTTGTCAGTTTTTAAGTTTTGAATTCTGTTACTGCTATACAATTTGAAAGAGAGAGAGAGAGAGAGAGAGAGAGAGAGAGAGAGAGAGAGAGAGAGAGATTTTAATTTAAAAAGCAGAGCTCTTAGCTTACTGTGCATAAGTATAAATTTGCTCATCTATTAATAGTATGTCATACATTTATCCTCAAAGCATGATTCTATTTTATAAGCCTGATGTCCAGTTTTGTTCTCTTACCTTTTTCTCAACAAAGAAATTAAAGTGCAAGCAAATAATAAGAATCCTATAATGGAATGCCTTTCAAAATTACAAAACCAAAAACTGATTTACAAGTTTGTGACAATATTTTTTTTCCTTTTCACAACAAACTTTAATTCCTCATATGAACATACCAGGTAATGACTTTAAACTACTTATGATCTCCTCTCTTCTTTTTTGCAAGGATATCCTGTCTTCTGACATCATCAGACCAAACAGCACGAGAGAAATGAACTGGCTGGTATAAGCCTGAAGATAAAACAAAAAAATCCTTTATGTGGCTGTATTATGATCCTAAGACTATCTATTAGATCTGCTTTAATGAAACAAGAAGGTCTACAGTACAACACATGTCTGTGGGTATCAGATCATAACTCAGTCACTCATATCCATAGGTAAAGCTGCAGAAAAGGATGTTTTCAAATCCTAGAGTCTCTACAGGTTGGTATAGATCAGTGATGGCGAACCTTTTAGAGACCAAGTGCCCAAACTGGGTGGACACGGTCCATTGTGTGGGCATGGCTACAGTGGTAACGGCAGAACTGGGTGGGACTAAAAAGTTCAATCAATCAATTCCAACTTTGTGAGTTCTTTTTTTTCCCGCAAAAAGTTGAAATTGGTTGATTGATTGGACCTTTTTTTTTTCTTCATACAGCGACAGAGGTCTAAAGTGAAAAGATTTTATAAAATCCAGCTGAAGGCCTAGGACTGGGGCAATGGCGCGCGTGCCCACAGATAGGGCTCTGCGTGCCACCTGTGGCACGCGTGCCATAGGTTAGCCACCACGGGTATAGATAGTATTGACAGTTTCCTGCAACACAATGCTTTCTTAACGAGGAAGATACTTTACTGCTGCTCCAGGCAATATCAAGGCTCTGATTTGGTTCAAAAGAGAAAAAGGTCAATTACAAAAAAGGAAAGTTACCTTTGTACTTGCAACGCCAATTTCAGGTCCTGCATTGATATGTACACCGCAATCTGTATCCCTGGATATTGAACTTCCCACCGTGTTTGTAATGCCAACAGTCAAAGCTCGACGATTCTTACAATACCGTAAAGCCATCAACGTATCAGCAGTTTCTCCTTTAACACATTACAACAATGACATTATTAGAGTTGAATGGTGGTCAAATTTAGAATGGTCTGACCTGCTCTATTCATCATGATACCGAACAGCTTTCCTGTTTTGTAAATTTGCCAAAGTGCTATGTTTCTTGTTTTGGCTGTTTTAAATAGGAAGTGAGAATTATCCTCAAAATCTTTAAAAATGACTGCCATCCAACTATTTGACTTTAGTAGGAGGTAAAGTATCATAGAACATTCCTCGTGAGGAGATGATTTGTGTTTTAGAGTGCAAAATGAAATTTTAAATTGGCTTCAGAAATAGGAGTAATATTTTCTTTAAAATACAGGCACAGGGAACCTCAGTTTTGAAAAGCTTACATTTCAGAACTGCCAGATGCAGTTTCTGAGACACTCAGTGAAAAGCCCATTACACCAATAATAAAAACCAACATGTGAATTATAGTAACAAGATCTTCTTGATGCTGGGATACCAATGTAAATACAATTAAAACTTTACAACTGGAATCTTGGTATAAATTAAGGTAATAATATATACCAATAAAGCACATTTGTCAAATTCCCAATATTTCCCAAATTAAAATGTAAGGCAATTTACCTGACTGGCTGATAAAAAAGCATACATCATCTCGGAATACAGGGGTATTCCGATCCAGAAAATCACTAGCCAGTTCCACCATGACAGGTAGCTCTGTCAGCTCTTCCAATACTTGTCGTGTCTGAATGAACAAAAACAATGCATCTGGCTTTAATTCATCATGTGAGATTAGCATACTAGCAGAGTGAAGCAAAATTAATCAGCTTTGTAGGACTAATGCAAATTACTGCTTTAATTTACACTAAAAGGTTCAAGGTGAAACAGACAAAAAACAGGCAAGACTGAGATAATTGTATACACTCTGCTTATTTATTCAACCTATACGCTGAATATATTCTTCAGGTTATGAGGGCAATTTGGACTGTCAAGAAACATTGCACAGACCAGCATTTGATAGAACAGCCTTGAAGACGTTACATATTCAAGATGTGGCTCTACCTACAAAGTTCAGAATCATACAGGTTTGTAACAGTTCATGGAAACAATATTTGCACTTTGAAGAAGCAGCATAGAAAGAGTTTCAATGCTTTTGAACTCTGATGGTGGAGAAGATTTCTGAGAATACCATGGGTATCCAAGAAAACAAGCTAAGGATAATCAAACAAATCAACTCAAAGTTTTCACTCAAGGCCAGATTCAAATTATCATACTGTGACACATTATGCAAAGACAGTTCACTGTTTACAATGCGGGTTCCTTGGTGTTTTCTGATGGTTGTTTTCTTGCAGACGTTTCATTACCAAAACATCAGTGCTAGACTAGCAGTAATGATGTTATCTAGTTTAGGTAATGTAACATCTGCAAGAAAATAACTAAGCTCAGAGAGCACTAAGGACCCCTGACTTCAATCCTGAGCTACAAATATTCTCCTTTAAAAAGTTTACAATGCTGGAAAAGATGGACTGAAAGAGAAAGAGAATAACAAATAACATGTGGATAGATTCAATTATGTACTATTGGAAAATCTGAAAAACCAAGTTGGGAATCAACAGTGACTAGATGGCTTATAATCAAAGAGAGTCATAGTTCTATGATTAATGTCACTCCAAAAACTGGCTCTTTAAAACATAGAAAACTTCTTTAAACATACTATGAAGAACTTTCTTACACATGTTTTCATATGTTGAAGTATTTTAAACTTACAGCCACAGCAGCATGATAACTGGTTCCACATCCAATAATTATTAATCGACGACATCTTCTGATTTCTTTCAAGTGATCTTTCAAGCCACCTAAAAGAACTGTAATTTCCACAAAAAGAAATGATATGAAAAGTTTAGTCCTGGGCAAGTTTCTATCAGACATTAATGGTAACATTAAGAGAGATTAGAATTTTCTTCACATTTACCTTTGTTGGTTTCAAAGTTCACGCGTCCTCTCATAGTATTGAAAACAGATTCTGGTTGTTCAAATATTTCCTTCTGCATGAAAGCACTGAAATTCCCTGTTGTTGTTTGAATAAAAATGGTCTATTAATGTTATTATTTAATCCAGAAAATGTATAGCAAAATAATCTGGGACAGAATGGCAGTTTCACTCAAGCCAAATTGCTCACACTTGGTTAAAGGAATGCCTATTCCCATATGATCTGACCATGATGAGAGACTTCCTTGGGGCCTTTTTGGCTATTACATTACCAAACAAAGGCTATACTTCCAAGGATTAGATTGTTACAAACATTTAATTTTTAGGAACAGTTAAAGATTAATAATGGAATCGGTCGATCAGGTAAAGATGATTAAAAATCTCTTTAAAAACATGTTCAACTTACAATCTTAATAGAGCCTGAAATTTCCATTATATAGCATGACAATTGTTAAATCAAAGTATCCACGTGACCAAACCCATTTTATGATATATTCTGTGGCAGTCGTAAAGCATTGCCTGCAATGGGCGATTTTTGCCTGAAACTGGAAGTTAATGCCAGTTTACAGAAAATACATCATGGCCATATGACTGTGAAACTGTGAGCCAAACAGCCCTAAATGTGGACGAGTTGCTGAACACCTAAAATACAATCATTTTGCAGTGGGGACGTGTCTGTTGGAATTGCAAATCTAAGTCATAAGTACCTTTTGGAGGATTTGTTGTAATTTCACTGCAGACTCACTAAGTGATTGATCATAAGTCAAGGACTACCTGTATTACTATGGTTTACCTCATTTTATGGCATTTCAAAATGATATTGTTTATATTTAGACAACAGATTGCAGGGGTAAGAAAAGTTTGATAAAATACCATACAGCCTTACAGGAAAATAGAACGTGCTCCTTAAATATGTCTGCCAAATACCCACATTTTATTTATTTTATATATATATATAAAATTTATTTTATATATATATATATAAAATTTGACATTTGTTACATGATTTGTTGGCAAAGTAGGTTCAATTACTCTTTGTGATATTTTAGTTTTATAATAATAATAGACTATATTGGTGACCTTATAAGTCTCCAATGCTAGATAGGTAGAATATAAATAATTTCAATGTTTATTTGTTTATATTTATATATTATTCAACTCCCAACAGATTCCAGATGATACACACAAGGCTTAATAACTTTACAACTGATATTAAAGCAAAAACAGTAAGCAGATGGTCTTTCAGAACAACACATTATGGAAGAAGGTCCAAGAAAAAAAAACCCTCATCTTTTAAGCCCTTCCAAAAATGGGAAGGGTAAGGGCAAAGTGTATTTCCAGAAGCAGTGAATTCTACAGTTGGGGCGATCTCCAAAAAGTCACACCCTCCTCATGTAGATGAAATCCTTAAAAGATCTGTTCTGGGTTGCTCTAGACCAGTGGTTCTCAACCTTCCTAATGCCGCGACCCTTTAATATAGTTCCTCATGTTGTGGTGACCCCCAACTATAAAATTATTTTCGTTGCTACTTCATAACTGTAATTTTGCTAGTTATGAATCGTAATGTAAATATCTGATATGCAGGATGTATTTTCATTGTTACAAATTGAACATAATTAAATTCTATTCTATTCTTGTATTCTATTCTATTCTATTCTATTCTATTCTATTCTACTCCACTCTATTCCATATTGTCTATTCTATTCTGTTCTGTTCCGTTCTGCTCTGCTCTATATTCTATTCTATTCTATTCTATTCTATTCTATTCTATTCTATTCTATTCTATTCTATTCTATTCTATTCTATTCTATTCTACTCTACTCTATTCTATTCTATTCTATTCGACAATTTAGGATCGTCTTCTTCCTGGTTATTCGAAAAAGATTCAGTTATAGAAATGACAACTTTCCAATCATTTTCTATCTCTCCCAGTTTTGCATTTGGAGTGAAATGAATCTCAAATTGCCCTTAGTATATTTTATTACAAAACGGTCAGAGGAGGGTAATTTCCCTAAGAACTGCCTGCCGTAGCGCTAGAGGAGCTCCTGTCTCTCAGCCCCGCCCCTTTCAAGGAGGAGAGTTCGGGTGGGGGGGAGCAGAGGGAAAGTATTCTCTTCTCATGGAGGAAATTGGCCTCGGTGACTCACCGTACGCGAAGCCTTAAGCAGTGTGAGAGTTGGAAGAGCGAGGGGTTCCCCTTTCCATCCCTGCTGCGGCACTTGCAGCTTTGTGGGTTGGTACTTTCACACTCGGGAGATTCGAAAGTCATAATGGCTCAGAACGTTCAGAGTGTTACATTGTCTCTCACGCTGCCCATCACTTGTCACATTTGCCTGGGAAAGGTAAAAGCCACCCTCGCCGTTTTGGGGGTTTTACAAAGGGACCGCACGGAATGGAACGTGTCCGGTGCCAACACCCCACTCCCTTGCAAAATGCACGTGGGACGCAGGAAAAAGCCCCCTCGGTGAGGTAGAGGAGAAACGCTTTTAATTCCATGCGTTCTTTCTTTCCGCCCCCCCTCCACCCATTTCTTGCGTGGCTTTGAATGGGCGATTATTTCTGAATTCTAGCTTTGTCCCTAGCTTTGGAAACGGCTCGCCAAAAGCTTTATAAGCAGTGTCTCAATTCCTGAGACCATTGGAAATATGTGTTTTCCGATGGTCTTAGGCAACCCGTGAAAGGGTCATTCGACCCCCAAAAGGATCGCGACCCACAGGTTGAGAACCGCTGCTCTAGACAGACTGGGCAGGATTATGTTGTAGATGCAAGATATTAACATTATTAACTTATTATTTATTTGTTAAATATGTTTACCATCTATCTCGCCATAGGTCATAACTAACACTTTCAATACTTTTTCCCCGATCAGTACCTTCTTTTTTTGTGGCTAAGTCTGCATCTAAACTCTCATGGAAAAAGACTGGTATTAGAAAAGTTTTTCTGCCGGGCTTACCCTTCATGATTTGCTGCAGCTCCAGTTGCAAAGTTTGAATGGCTCGAGATGGGTCATCAGTAGCAGCACGTTTTAGCCGATGAATGGAAAGCTTTCCATCAGCCACTGCTGCAATGTCATCATCTTCCAGAAAAATAACTCTGTTGGTGTGCTCAATTATGGCACTGCAAAAAAAAAAAAAAAAAAACAAATCCAGGTTAAGGTGTGAACTTTCAAGTGCAGCAAAGCTTTGTTCCATGGGTGTAGATAAGAGCTATAAATGACCAGAAGCAGGAATTATGCATCATCCAGTTCTTGACTGTAGCACATGCATGTCAGGTTACAGATCATCTGCAGAGTCTAAAGAATCTGGAATCTGCATACAGCTACTAGAAACAGTTTGTATTCTTTGATATTGTGATATTGTTGATCTTCACCCATCCCAAACTATACTATATATGATCATGCAGAGCACACATTTATGAATTACCATTTAGATTTAGGCACTCCCCCTCCTGACAATTTAGAATCTATTTCTCCTTGGATATGAGCCAGTAGCAGTTCATCAGTTTTTCCCAGAATTGTTTTGCACCATTGGCTAACTAAGAATCAGGATCTAGGGCTATACAAAGCAACTTTAAAAGGTGCTTGACAAACTGAGCTGGCTTGAGCAAAGGACCTCTCCTCAAACAATGAAATAGCCTCATCACCCAGAAGAGTGAGCACTGCTGCTCCGTAGGCTTTCTCTAGTTCTCTGCATCTGACACAGGACACCCTTTGCAAATGTCAACAAAGCAACTGGGGAACATTGCTGAAGCAGCTAAGTTCAGCCTCCAAGAATCTGTGTCTATTTCATTGTTTCACTTGGGCTTGCATGCTTTGCACAATCCTGCTAAGACTACACATTGTTATGTCTGTTACCTTGCATCTGAAGCAAAGAAAAATTCAACTGCTTTATCACCCACAGCATGAAGGCAGGTTGAACTGTCCAGTCTTTTCATTTGAGTTTTGCATATGTTCTTAACATTTTCTATATTACCTATCAATGAAAAAGTATGTAATATCTTTAAATCATCAGCAATGAGTACCCAGAGCTGAAATCAAATATTTGAATTTCGTGAATTATACCAGAATCATTGCTACACCTCATTAAAAATTACTAAGAAAACGAGGCAAGAATGTTATACATATACACTATTTTAATTTCAATACATAAATATAAAATTCGGCAGAATTTTGAAGTAAGGGTTTATTTAACATAGTTTACCAAATCCATAGTACCATGGATTTGTGATTAATAGACTAATAAGAAAGAATCCTGGCCAATATAATCAGTTCCCTTTCCTCCACAATTCCCAACCCTCCCAAAATACAGCGATGGTGATAGTACTATAATAACTTACATGTTCGATATAAAATGGGAATTTGTTCTGTGGAGAGCTTAGATTCACTACGAACTCCAATAAGTAGAGGACTCCCCCTCCTGACCAATAATAAAACAACAATGAAAGTGGTTACATGCATTTTAACAAATACATTCAAATATTTTGCTACAATGAAAGATCTAAATCTTGGGTGCAAGTTCTGTGCTGATATCTATTTATTAAGCATCATAGCCCAATTTATAGTTTTATTTACTTACCTGGTAGCAACAGCTTCCCCTGGATAATGTATACTTTTGAATACCAGCGCAAATGCACCTTCCTACATAAAAGGAACATTAATATTAAAAAATGAATGGGATGCATATCAAAATTATCTAAAGAATGAGCAAGATAATATATTAGTCAAAATCCCGTTTTCATATTTTTAGTGATCCCTAAGGAAGGAGTAAATCAAAAAATAGCAAATACACTTCATTCACTGACAACAATGTTGGCATAAACAGTAGGAAGACAATCCCCAATTAATATTTCTAATGATGAACAAATTAGCTTCCTGATTATCAGTGAGAAGACTTGTATTTTTAATCCATGTCCAGCTATAGAATCCATATATTGAGCACTATTAAGTGATTATTTAGAGGCTGCAGCCTGACCCTTGATATCAGATTGATAGCTCTAAAGAAAAACAACTACAGATTCTAGGAATACATCTGGATTTCATTTGGGTTTACGTCTCCTTTTTCACCTATCCTCTGGACAAGTAAAAATAAGTTTTTGTGAACAGGAAAATACAGCAAGGCATTTTAAAAAGGATTATCTCTTTTTAAAACACACTCACCAACCTCATTTGGTTAAACTCAGTATAAGAAGATAATTCAATATTATGTAAACATTACTCATGCTAGGAAATAAGAGAATCTCCCACTCACCAGCTGCTGAATGACTCTCTCAACCAAGACAGAAAAGCTCGTTTCTTCAGTTTCTTTGTTATCATATAAATATTTGATCAATTTTGGAATTGTTTCAGTATCTGTTTCAGATTCAAATTCATAACCTTTGGTCTCCTAGAATATTTTAAACAAAATGTTAGATCTGAGTTTCTTACCTAAGGCTGTTTTCATTCATATGCAATAGCATCATGGGACATCTAATGCCTTGATCACTACTGCGATAGTTCCCGCTCCACAGTACAATCACATTTGCAAGCTAGATTTTATTTATTTAGATTGTATTTATTGGGACTTTATTAAACATGGCATGGAAACAGCATGAAACTAACATTGCCTGGCAACAATATAGAAACACAAGATTAATTCCTGCCAGAAACAACATTGTGTTATTCTCTAACTCAGTGTTCCTCACACTTAGCCATTTTAATGTCTGGGTTGAGAGATTCTGGGATCTGAACTCCACACATCTTAAAGTTGCCAAAGTTGAGAAATGCTGCTCTAGCTGATATCCAGACTGCCCTATGCTGATACTGGGATCACATAGGAAGGAAGAGGAAAAAGCGGTAGACAAACAACTATCTCTACAAGGGGGGGACTGAATCTGGAACTCATCGTCTGGCGTTAAATCTAAAGGCAGGCAAGGGCAGATCTTTCTACATATAAAAATAAATCCTGTCACAGTTTGGAGTGACACAATTTTACTATATGCTTTAGATTACTATCAGCTTACCAAAAACTTCCGTAGGTCTTTGTAATTTGTAATGATTCCATTATGGATAACAACAAATTCTGAAAGGAATATATATGTGGAAATAAATAAATAAATAAATAAATAGGTAAGAGCAAACAGTGAGACCTTAATTCAAAAAGTGGATTGGCACTAGTAAAGTGTTTCATAGAGTTCTAGTTTTCTGTGTTCTTTCAGCAATGTGTCATGGCCAGCTTGGACTCTGTCAGAGACTGACAATGAACAGCCACTTCCAGAGTTGCCAGATGAACTGCTGAGCAGCTGCAGGGAGAGACAACTGCACCACCCAGTAATCAGGAGACAGTCTCCTAAAATAAGGAGTCTGAGCTGCTACCCTCTCCCAGTCCAAGGGCTTGTCATGCGATGAGCAGAGCAAAGGCGTTCTGCAGAGCTCCTTGCCCTTCCAAATGAGCAACCCTGGGCTGAGTTGGATTTGGGAGTCTCTCGTGGCAAGAGTTTGCTTGACTTTGGTTGACTTGACTTTTCTAGTGCGCATCTCTGTGTGTGTATGCACATTTGCACTCACATTTCCTTTGCTGCTCCTTTGCTTCAGAAACTTCTCCACAAAGTTTGCAACCACCTATCTGTGTTTTGTGAGTGCATAGCTTGAGACAGAGCACAGTAGAGGTCAAGCAATATAACTAAACCAATGAAGTTTTGGTTTAAAAATCAGAGGGTATTGGTCGTTTGGAGAATACCTTGATTTGTTAATATAGGATACTCTAATTCAGGTTTCAGGTCCCTCTCTTTCATGTGTTCAGAATACTACACGTGCAAAATTGCTTTCTGAATCATTTAATACACACTAATACATGATGATGATTCATTGATTTCAACAGAAATTACCCACCATTACTTTTATCTGATCGTTGCGGATGACTGTTGACAGCATTCGGTACCCCGTGAGTAGCCCAACGAGTGTGAGCAATGCCAAAATGTGTCTCAAAGTCTGCCTTTAAATCCAAGTCTTCTTGCTCTGTACAGGACAAATGTATAATAATTTATATTCAAAAAGATAGGCAATTCTAAATTTCCAACTTTTCAATAATAGTTTGTGAGTCTAAAGATTTTTTTGCATTATGTCCATAATTGAGCCCAGAATTACATTGTTAAGTCATTGTGGTATTTAAGTGGGTATATGTGATCACGCCCCATTTTATGACCATGCTTGTGATGGTCATTAAACACCGCGGCCATTAAGCAAACACAATAGTTGCTAAGCAAATCCATTTTATCCAATGGGTGGGTTTGGCCAGAAACCATGAGTAAATGCCAGAAACTGGCAAAAAAGAATAAAAATTGTTTTCATGTAATCACAGGATGTTACAAATGGTCCTTGAACTGATTGCCAAGCATGCAACATGCAAGCATGTGACTGCAGTGTGTGAATGTGTGCAGTCGTTGGAACTTTAAAATTAGGTCATAAATATCTTTTGGGGGAGGGTCCATTGTTACTTTGAACGGTCGCTAAATGACTGGCTGTTAAGTGAGGACTACCTGTATACAGGTATATTGTAACAATATCACAAATACTACTATAAACATATTCCATGCAGAAATCATTATATACAAACACACACAGTTAACTTCTCAATACAAAATACATTATTTCCAACACTGAGCAAATTCAAAATCCAAATGAAAATGTCTACCACTGATGGGGGTGTCAGCAATAATTTATTTCTATTTTGATAGAAGAATCTGCTTTAAAGCCCTTTTATTAAATTATAGCAAAAATGATTTAATGTTTTCTTAATGAAATACATAACTTGCATGGCTTGCTTTTTTATGATTTAGGTGTGACTTCTGTTACAGTTAATTAGATCTCAAATGAAAGTAAGATTTACATCATCCTCCACTGGTAGATTTAACTTCACAACATAGAAAGTATATTTCCATCTGTCTTTCCTAGGATTTCCTAGGAGCCATGGTGATGCAGTGGTTAGGATGCAGTATTGCAGGCGGTATATAAGTGTTATTGCTATATTCTTACTCCTATCACAGGTTTAGATTCAACATGACATTGAAATATTAAAGCTTGGCTTGTGGGATTGTACACACTTTCTTAAACAAAAATATCACATGTACACAGAATTCATATTGAATATTACTCAACAATCCCATGTTGTATCATAACTACCATTATATATGTATGAATAAGACTTATAAAGGAAAGATAGTAAAATGTTCAGAAAGTGTTTGAGAGTAAAATGTAGCATTAGAACAGATGACATTTTTGTTTAAGAAAGTGTTAATTGTAACTCCATCAATTGCTAGATGATTAATCAATACAGCAAGGTTCTTAGCCTCCCACTGAAATTCTACTTCTAAATAAGCGTGCTATATTAAACATTGGCCATAAATATACCAAAATGCAGATGTTTTGTTATACTTACTTTGCAATTCCTCATCAAGAGCCTTTACTTTTCCTCTTTTTTTCACTAATTTGATGTACCGTTCTTTATCTTTATTATTATTCCCATCAATTGCAACACCTGTAATATAGAATATTGTATAATGTTTCTGATTATTTAACATACTATAACTTCCACTTTCACAGTGGATCATGGGGAATACCAGGGCTTGCACATCATGACATTTGAATATCTTTTCCAAGGCTTTCATCGCTACTCTACCAAATGCTAATCAGTGATGCATTTCTTGCCTGCTTGTTCCTTTACTGTTGAAAGTTGATCCAAAGATATCCTTTGATATCTTCATTGATAATTCTAAGGCTGGTTGCCCTACCTATTGCCATTTATAAGTTTCGTTATATTTAATTTTAGTCCCATTTTCATTGTGCTCCATGACTTTGGTATTAGGACTTGCAGATTCTTTGCATTTTTGGCTATGTATCATCAACCTAGCACAAATTATTGCTGTTTCTTCCTCCAGTTTTAAAACCACACTCATATTCTTCCAATCCAGTTTTCTTTAATATGTATTCCATATATAGGTTGAATGAATAAGGGGAGAGAGTGCAGCCCTGTCACACTCTGCTGCCAACTTAGACCCAGTCTATTTCATCATGTTCTCTCCATACTGTGGTTTCCTGGCTTCTATATAAGTTGACCCAATCTGTTATAAGTGACCCTATAGGTTAAAGTTATTACAAAATAAATAAATAAAACTCTATCTAAGATTCTCTTAGAAGTTTATTTGTATCTCATGTCAATGGTTCAGCAGTTTATTTTTAAACATTGTCCAAGAACCAAATACATCTCACAAAATGAAACTGTGGCTGGATTAATTACAATATGGGAGCCCAATCAATATCTAGCCTATTCAGAGCCTGTTTCTAACTATCTTCGGGAAAAGCAATAGAAGCAAGATAAGACAACAATTGTCAGTGTCCGTGTAAGACATTTTACATACCTGCGGAATCATATCCTCTGTATTCTAGTCTTTGCAGTCCTTTTATCAGTGTTTCAAATATCTCTTTCCTTGTCCGAGGTACTTTGTAGTTCAAATAAGCAAAGATACCTGTTGAAGAGAGGACAGTGGAAAAAAAATGAAATACCAATATGCTAATATTGTGTCATTCATGAGTTAATATGAATTCCTTCTTGCCTAATTATCCCATTTTACAATACAGGTGATCCTCGACTTATGACCCCATTTGAATCCCAAATTTCCATTGCTAAGCAAGACAGTTAAGTGAGTTTTGCCCCATTTTACGATATTTTTGTCATGCTTGCTAGTGAATCATAGCAGTTAAATTAGTAACGTGGTTGTAAAATGAATCTGGCTTCCCCATTGACTTTCTTGGCAGAAGGTCGCAAAGGTGATCACATGACCCCAGGACACTGCAACTGTCATAACTAGTTGCCAAGCGTCTAAATTTTTATCTCTCTCTCTCCCTCCCTCCCTCCCTCCCCCTCTCTCCAGGTTTGCCAACTGAAATAAAATCTTATCAGTTATTCTATCATGATAGTATTTCTTGTAAAGAAGATAGCTTTATGATTTACTTGCTGTACGTAGTTTCATTAAGAAAAAGGATAATTAAAATACTATTGCCTGATAATCTTAGCTATTTTAATTTGGACAATTATTTGATTATATCTGACCAATTTATTTTGGTTGACTGCCTATTTCTGTTTTATCTCATTTAAAACAAGATAACACAAATCTTTTACTAATCAGATCTTGAGCTACAGATAGCAACACAGTGCTAGGCTGCATTAACAGAGGGATAGAATCAAGATCACGTGAAGTATTAATACCACTTTACAATGTCTTGGTAAGGCCACACTTGGAATACTGCATCCAGTTTTGGTCACCATGATGTAAAAAAGATGCTGAGACTCTAGAAAGAGTACAGACGAGCAACAAAGATGATTAGAGGACTGGAGGCTAAAACATATAATGAACGGTTGTTGGAATTGGGTATGGCTAGTCCAGTGTTTCTCAACCTTGACAATTTTAAGGCATGTGGACTTCAACTCCCAGAATTCCACAGCCAGCATTGCTGGCTGTGGAATTCTGGGAGTTGAAGTCCACATGCCTTAAAAATTGTCAAGGTTGAGAAACACTGGTCTAGTCTAATGAAGAGAAGGACTAGGGGTGACATGATAGCAGTGTTCCAATATCTCAGGGGCTGCCACAAAGAAGAGGGAGTCAAGCTATTCTCCAAAGCACCTGAGGGCAGGACAAGAAGCAATGGATGGAAACTAATCAAACAGAGAAGCAATCTAGAACTAAGGAGAAATTTCCTGACAGTGAGAACAATTAATCAGTGGAATAAGAAGGTGTGAATGCTCCAATACTGGAAGTTCTTAAAAAGAGACTGGACAACCATTTGTCTGAAATGGTATAGGGCTTCCCGTCTGAGCAGGAGGTTAGACTAGAAGACCTCCAAGGTCCCTTCCAACTTTATATTATTATTATTATTATTATTATGGATCATCGCACAGTCAGCCAGATGTTCAGACTGGATTTGGCATTTTGTCTACCTATCGAGTCCTTACCCAGGACCTGGGATAGGCAATGTGGATGTTTGATGGTATTATTATTATTATTATTATTATTATTATTATTCACCATAAAGTTGTACTTTTTGAACCACAGTTATTATTCTCTGCCTTCCCAAAAATAGATTCACAAGACTATGTCAGAATTTAGCCAAGAACTGATCTGGATAACTCTAGATTATACCTAGTATTTCACAAATCTATTAGGGAGATTTCTAGTAAAACTTATTAAATCCTGTTTGCTAGCATGAATCACAACAGAAAAGTTGCTCCAGTCCAGCACAAAAATCTCCTGAGGCTAGGGCTGTTAACAATTTTCTCATGGATTCAGCTCAAGTTTTTTTCTATTTTTCCAGAGCAACGTTTAAAATACTTCTAACACTTTTGCACATTCTCAGTAGTTTTATACCCTCAAAAGACAGACATGTACATATACACATACATGCATACATACACATATAAAAGATATAACAGAGTTTTCATTTGAGGCAATATTTTTATGCTTTGGTCTCTCCAGGAAAGGCCTTTTTGAGGGATCTATCCACAATGGAGCCAGTGTGTTGAGCTTGGTAAGGATTCCTTATTTATACTGAATTCTAGCAATGCTCCTATTTAAGCATACAAAGAGACTCAGAGGCCACTAGAGACTTTTCATTGAAAATGATAGCAGCAGTCTAGACTGCCAAGGAATATATTACAGTTATTTAGGGTTGAGGAAAGAAAGTTTAGTTTCAATACATACATCCCCTTGTGCCTCCCATTAAACGCACGGACTGTTCACTTTTAAAACATAAAGGCCACATCCAACACAAAGTTAAAGTTCAGACCACAGGACTGATTCTTAAGTCCATGGTTTAATAGTAGGTGTGACTAATAGCATCCCCCTCATTTTCCTTCTTCCATAAACAGATGGGCCTCTCTTGTTTTAGTGCTACTCAAACTGGTTTAGAAATAGCTTGGATTATATGATAAATCATCCTGAAGTTCCAAGAGATTTAAAAAAAAAATACCCTGAACAATCCAAAGTCTAAATTCACAATGAATAAACTTCTGTATCATATTCTGCATTTTTCCTTATTGAAATGAAAGTCACAAATGTTAATCTTAGTTGAAAATACCCTATTTCTTCTCTAGCGTGAAGGATCCTTTTTTTAATTGCAATTCCATTTGGAAATTGATATATTATGTCAATTTTGTCTTTTAAATGCTATTATTTCTTATAAGCAATAACATTACACTTAAAATTAGACACTTTAAAAAGATATACAGTTTTTAATGTTCAGACAAGAAAGAAATCTAAAAATCCTTGTGGCAGTGTAAATAGGCATCATTTTATTGTGGCACAAAATAGCTATGGCAAATGCACAAACATGTATAACCTGTAGTACAAACATTATCCAGAGGATAAAGTTCTATTGTTAACTAAACCACTTCCCCTTTGACCTCATAATCTTTTCTCTTCAGCATGTTATTCTTTTCATTATTCAAGAGATAAGAAAGGGCTTTAAGTACTTCTACTTACAGAAGACCCAAGGTAATCATTGGGTTTGATAAAAACAGAATGGATAGAGTTGTTTTAAAATGATTGCACAGAAATAATGTCACAGGAAAGGCCCTTAGTCTCCATAATTGAATGAAGCGCTTCTGCTATGACACTAAGAATAGTTCAAACAGAGAGTTAGCTAGCAGTCACACAAGCTAACCTTTGTTTTTTTTTTTATTTATTTTTTTTTTTATTAAAAGTTTTATGAATTTTACAAAAAAGAAAAAAGAATACAAAACAAGAGACAACATATACAAAAAAATAAAACTAAACAATACATATATAAGAAAAACCCCCCATCCCCCACCCCTCCCAAAAAAAAAAACCCCTCCCTTCCCCCCCCCCCCGAGCTTCCCAGAGCAGAATATAGGCTTAAGAAATAAAAATAAAAATTAAATTAAGAACTTTATATTTATATATATAAAAAGATTATCTATAATATATATGAAAATAAAACTTATGAAAAAACTATATAATATTTTTGTATACCCAATCTAAATTGTATAAATTTTATCCATTTATCCCAAACAGCAAAAAACTTCTCTTGCGTTTGTTGCTTTAAGAAAGCCGAAATCTTTGCCATTTCCGCCAAATGAGCTACTTTAAGAAACCATTCCTGCAATGTAGGCAAAGATTCCTTCTTCCAATATTGTCCTACTAACAGCCTGGCGGCTGTAATCAAATTTAACATCAATACAACCTCCTTTGTATCACAATCTGTAACAATACCTAACAAAAATAATTGCGGAGTAAATTTTACCCTCCTTCTAAAAATTCTCTGGATATTCCACCATATTTTGATCCAAAATGCTTTTATCTCTCTGCATGACCACCAAATATGATAATAGGAAGCCTCCTTATAACCACATCTTGTTTTGAGATTCCTCCTTTAATATCCTAAAAAGACTTTGAAGCTCTTGATTCCTTTTTCAGGAATGCAACTGGTTGGTAAAGAAAAGGCTCATGGGGAAATTCCACAAGAATGTCAATGCTTATTTAACCAGAATCAAGCTAGGATCCTTTTATATTTTATTCATAACAAGTAAGCTCATCACCCTTTCCCTTATCTTTGTTGCTTAGCTATGTACTGAAGCTTCTTCAAACAAGTTGCCTTTCACATGTGTTTGGATTAAAGCTCTCAGAATTTCTCAGCTATTGTCTATACTGGCTAGGAATCTTAGATGTTTTAATCCAAGCAAATCTAGGAGATGCCATGTTAAGGAAAAATGATGCATTGCTCACTACGTTAAAGTTCACCTCCTCACCAAGAAATCTATTTTCCATGATGAAAACAATATGTTGAGTGGATTCATCTCTAGCTGTAATTAGATTTCCTTGTAACTATTTTGCTTCCTCTTTCCTCTTACGAAATATTCCATTTTTAAAGCGTATTGAATTCCCTCCTCCATTCTACAAACAGTGATCCTGCGGTTTCTCATACAGTTAATTAGTCAAATGTGAAATGTACCTATTGATCATCTTTAGATACTTGACAGAAAATTATCCTTTAAAACAGTTGAAAGACATCATAAAAAGAATCCATCCCAACCATCATTGGTCAGGGAGGCACCTTCAAAGGTATACAAGATTGGAAATGGAGAGTTAGATTTGTTCACTGAAGAATGGAGGGCCATGCTCAGCACCTTGAACTGTTAGAGGAAATTCAGGACATACATCTAATAAATAACTTAATAGTGGCCAACTTTGTAACCCTAGATACTGTTGGATTCCTATCAGCTATGCCCATTGGTTATGCTGGCTGGGAATAATAGGAATATAGGGCAATCACATCTGGGGATCCTGTTGATATGAAATTCTGGAAGTGATAGCTCCAAAATATCTAGCAATCTCCTTTGGTTGAAGAAGACTGTACTAGTATTAGACTTTAAGGCTCTTTTGCTTAACTATAGTTCTAATGTGCTAGAAATCCCTCCATTTAAAATAATGTACCAACTTAGAAACCTAGGCTTTTGCTTAATGACCTCACTGATAAAGTTATTAAACTCACTGATATTTCTACTTATGGAGTAAAACTAGATTGCTACATATAACATGAAAACGTGAAACATCACACAAACTTTACATTTCTTGCATAGCTTTTGTTTGTGTGGAGATATTTTAAAGACCTTTTCATTTCAAAGTAGGAAGCTTCCCTTCACCACTTCAGGCAACATTTGATTTATATCTTATTTTAATCTCACCAAACTTTTCTACAACATCAATAATGGAAAGTGCTTTAAAATCACACCAGACTCTTGACCTAGTATTCTGACTCAGCCATACAATCTCTTGATTAGCATTTGGTTGAGCAGTGGAACATCCCTATTTCTGAGTCAAAGCACAGATGTCTCACTTTAGATAAAGTGATTTCAGTATGTTTGTTGATATGTCTTGAGTGAGTAACCAAGATTAACACAAGACATTCCTTACCAGCTTGAGCACAATAGACTAATTCTGAACAATTTAGATATAACAGGATTTCTGAAACAAAATAATCTTTTAGAACTCAAAGCTGTAACTTGTTCACCTTGCAAAGAAAATACATGGCTTAATTGTCTGAAAGGAAGCTGATTTCCTGTTCTAATACACAAATTTAAAACAAGTTTTATTTGATATTCTCAATCCAAAACCTTATTTATGGTTCAGCTATATAATTCATACAATCCATTTTATTATACTTTATTATATTTATGGGCACCGGTCCCCTTTTTCTCTGTATTATGCCACTATCATAGCTATGCCTTTTTCAGATGCTTAAAAGTGCATGAAAAAACAGGCATTGCAAGGAATTGGAAAAGAAAACTTACCCCCCCCCCCCATCCCAGCTTAATACATGCAGAGAAACTGCATGTAAGGAAGGCTTTATCTGCACTTAACAGAAACCATGGCCCTGTGCATGTGTAGTTCAAGCACCTTTTTCACATTTGACAAGGCTTATACTGTTATTTCTGGTAAAATGCAGTTTGAGCAATAATGTACTAAAAGTTCACTTATCTTAGCCCAAGGACCTATTTGCCATCAATACACTGCAGTCCAGGAAGGAAACTACATACTTGAACTGTCCCAACCAGCAGGATTTGCATCCACTAAAATAATTCCTGAAGCTAACTCTCACTGTAGTTTTACTTCCCTGTGGTAGGCAAAAATAATTTTAAATGTGTGCTTTGCTGGCGATCCAGTAAAAGCATTTTTTAAAAGTAGTATTCAAATATGCCATATGCTAAATAAATAAATCACCACGTAGTATTCCCCAAGTATTGAACTTGGAGAAGGAAAATTAAAAAGAACCCTGGATGAAAATTTAGCAGTTAGCAAATAACCCTGGAGGAGCACTTTTGCTTATCAACATTCACTTTCATTAAAGATTGGTCCTGCTAATAATCAGAAGTTAGATTTTCTACAGTATCCACTGCTTCACAGTCACATTTCAGGCCAAAAGGCTAGAAGGAAGAAGCTCGTTCTTGCCCGACTGCTTTCATGCCCTTGCCACGTATCTCTCTTTGGGAGACACCAACCCAATGGGGCTCCCTTTGAGAAGATGCACCAACCCAAAACTTAAGTTTGGCTTTAAACTACTGTACTCCATCAAAAACTAAAGGAGGAGGATGCTGGAGGAGCAAAGCCAAGCAAGCACATGGCCAGGTCGTCCTATTCCAATGGCCACCCGCGGGAAGGAGGGGCAGTGGAAGGAAAAAAGAAAGGAAAATGAGGAGGGGAATAGGAAGGGAAAATAGAGGGAAGTGTGGCTCAGAAGCACGCCTCCTCCTGCGCCTTTTTATGGGCGGGCGGGGGGAAGAGTGTCGGAGGGGCAAAGCATTCAGCTTCCATTTCCTTTCCGACCACCAGGCCCCCCCTTAGGAAGAAGGTAGATCTTACTGCTCGGTTGGAACGGCGGAGCTTTTACATGGCAAACGTTCTTTCTGTTCTTCTTCCGCCCCATCTCCCCCTCCCGCAACCCGACCTACTTGCACCTCTGCTTTGGGCCCACATGTGCAGCCTTTCCGCCGCTCTAATTGCGCGGAGAAGCTGGCAATCAGCCAACTCCGCTCCTTCCCTCCCTCTTCCCTTCCCTTCCTCACTCACCGCACATGGTTGGTGCCCGACCGCACACGCAGCCCCGTTCAGTCGCTGAGAAGCCTGGAACCCCGCGTACCTCCCTGTCACCTCCTCTTTCTCCTTCGCCTGCCTCTTTATAACGTGTCTTGGACCAACCCCTTTGGGTGGTTCATTGGTTGAAAGCGGGAGCGCAGGAAGATGGAGGGGGGGGGGAGAGAAAAGGTTGCTCTCAGCTTCTTGCTGGCTCCAGCCGTCACCCTGACTCACGAGATGGAACCAAGATGGGGGGGGGGAGGGCTAGGAGGTCGAAGGAAAGGAGGGGACTTTTTGTCCCCGGGAGGAGCCGCCTACGTCCCGGGATGGGGGTCCGGTCTGCCTCCAGATGTTCCCGAACTCCAATTCCCAGCAACCCCGACCAGCGTGGTCAACGAGAGGTGGGGTTTTGGAATTTCTAGACCCAGGGTCCTCCTCCCTAATTAGCGGCTGAAGAGTGGCAAATGATCTTCATCTTGTCTACCCCGATGCATCGATCAGCTTCATAATAAGCATTTTTCATCCTTCACCTCTCACAATACTTTTGGGCATGCTGCGGGGTGGGGGGTATTAAAGTCCAAAGCATCAGGAGGATGTCACCCTGGGAAGGATTTTTTTTATCTTTTTATCTTTCTTCCAAGTGATTGTGTATTACTGTTTATCAAAAGAATCCTATATAGGGCAATTAGAAAGGTTTGAAATCATATCTTTATCCCAGCCCACAGGATTTCAAACTGTTGTTGCCCAACCCAACTTACCGAGGCCAGAAATGGCACCTGTAGGCAAAGATATGGCCCTCTTTTTCAATAGGCTGATCTGGAAAACCCATGAGCTTCTGGCACCGGGAAAAGACTAAAGAAGTCGCGAACCTATGGTATGTGTGTCAGAGATGGCACTCAGAGCCCTCTCTGTGGGCATGCATGCTGTCACCCCAGCATAGTTCGCCAGAGTAGTGAGCATGTGGCGTTTGGAAGTGCCAGGGCAGGAAGTGAGCGAGCATGCGGTGTTGGCCCCCTGGGGATGCCCTGGAGATGGCCCATCCACCCCGGCTATGCTCACCCAGTCTGCCGTGCCACTGCAGCTATGTCCACCCAGTGGCCATGCCCACGCCCCCCCCCCGCTCTCCCTGAGAGCACCACAATGCTGATGCGGCCCTGGCACTTTGCAATAAATAAGTGGGTTTTGGGTTGCAGTTTGGGCACTCGGTCTCTAAAAGTTTCGCCATCACTATACTAAAGATTTAAAGATGCAAGTACTGTTGCGTAACTTTTGTGGACTACAGACATGATCACATGTGGGGTACGGTCCTACAAGGGAAGGGACAAATAATAATAAGAAAGACCTCGGAGAAAAAGAGTGTAATGGTCATTCAGTTGTTGGGTGTGACTTAACATCTTTTTGCACGGGTGAGCTAATACCAGATGTGCAATCAAAAATCTTGGATCTCTGTTTAATGCTTGAAAAACTTGTTGACTTTTCAGGTAGTCACAAGCATTTCTTTTTGCTGTTCCCTGGAATGTTTACTGTTCAGACAACTTGGCAGCCATGTCTGCTGATCCTATTTAACTGATTGCTGGAACATTCAGTCTACTCAAACTGTACCTAAAAGAAAAAGCTACACAATTTCTAACTATGCAGAAAATAATATACCACTGCATTTTGAAACTTTTCTTTTTAGAACAAATAGAGTTCAAAGGATTTCTACTTTAGGCTTAGAATACCTGTCCTCGTGAGGATTTTATTCAAGGAAGTTCTGTGAGTTCCTGCAGGCATATTCTATTTGTGGTATTTCTAAATGACTAAATTCTTGAATCAGCATAATTGATAAAGATGAGAGAATTTGCATATTTAATATTAATTTTACATATCAGCAATATTGCTTTTCTAATCCTCAAAAGGCAATTTGCTACTTCAGCATAAAGGGATGGACTTCCGCTTGGATGTCCTAAATATATAATTTATTTAATTAAATTTTTGTTTACATTGTTATTTATCATTATATTGATACTTTTATCTATTCTTATCCAGTCACTTGTGCAAGATATACTATAATTTGAATTTATAGATTATAGAGAATCATCTTAGGCATAAGCTAATTGAAAGGAACATTTTACTCTATAATTCAATAAAATGTAATAAAAAGAAAAAAAGAAAGGAACTAGATTGGACAATTTCAGTCAGAAAATCAAATTGTTTACTATTCAGGATATGAAATTACAGAGAAGGAATACCATTTCATTCATAGTTAGGAAAAATACAGTATAACAAAGCCAGTACTTGAGTACAATGTGGTCAATGACTAAATAAGATTAAATACACTTTGCTGACAGTCTTTAAATGTGACATTTATTCAGGTTTATGCTCTAATCACTGATGCAGAAAAAGAGGAGCTTGTTGAGTGTTATTTGAGTCTTCATTCACAAACAGCAGATCTTGCTTGCATATTTTGTTGATACTAGAAAGTATCAACAAAATGTGCAAGTAAGATGTGCTGTTTGTGAATGAAGATTCAAAGGCCAAAGTTAAAAATAGTAAGGAGGAAAATGTCGTTGGATTGTATGACCTAGTATAGGATCCCTAACCCCAGGGCTGTGGACCAGCACTAGTCCATGGCCCATCAGAAACCAGGCCACACAAGCGACAGAAGCCCTATCCATGCATGCACAGGATGCAGGCAGCATGGGAAACCATGCTCCCCCCCCCATCTGTGAAAAAAAACATTCTCCATGAAACCTGGCACCCAAAAGGGCTAGGAAACAGAAATGAAGCTGGAGAATAAAATTTCAGCAGAATCTCTCTAGTATTAAAAAAATGAAGCCAGTAATCAGTACTCCTCTATTGAAAAGTTATCAGAATCAACAATGTTGGAAGATCAGAAGGACCAGGTTGGGGACAGATCATTCTGGAAAAGATTTATTTATGTGGGTATTTATTTAATCGTATTTGTTGCTCATCTCACATGGTGACTATAGGCAACATATAATCAAAATATATAAAAACCATTAAAACAACCAATTTAAATTAAAAAATAAACAAATAAAAATTAGAAAAGAAAGTGGTAACAAAATAGAGAGGGTATTCTATTAATTGTCATATATCTAACAGTGCCCATTCCATCATGGGATCTCCAACTAGTTGAAAGGATCGTGTTTTAAGGGCCAGCAGGATTGGGACCAGCCTCGTCTCTGGGGAAATGATTTTACCATAGGGCAGGGACCACAGCAGAAAGACTTTGGTATAAACAAAGATTGGATGAGACCTGGCTTAAAAACAATAACTGTGAGAGGGACCTTGGAGTCATAGTGGACGATCACTTAACCATGTGCCTGCAGTGTGCAGCAGCAGCCAAAAAAGCTAATACAATCCTGGGTTGTATAAACAGAGGCATAGAATCAAGATCATGTGAAGTATTAGTACCACTTTATAAAACCCTAATAAGACCACACCTGGAATACTGCAGCCAATTTTGGTCACCATATCACAAAAAAAGATGTTGAGATTTTGTAAAAAGTTCAGAGAAGAGCAACTAAGATGATCAAAGGCCTGGAAGTTAAAACATACGAAGAACAGCTGCAGGACTTGGGTTTGGCTAGTCTAAGAAAAAAAGAAATAGGGGAGACATGATAACAGTATTCCAGTATTTGAGGGACTGCCACAAAGAAAAGGGGGGGTCACATTATTCATCAAAGCACCAGAGGGCAAAACAAGAAACAATGGTTGGAAACTGATCAAATAGAGAAGCAACCTGGAATTAAGGAGAAACTTCCTGACAGTGAGGACAATTAACCAGTGGAACAGCTTGCCTCCAGAAATCATGGGCACTCCATCACTGGAGATTTTTAAGAAGAGGCTAGACAGTTACTTGTCTGAGATGGTATAGGTCCTGCTGCTTGAGAAAGGGCTAGACTAGAAGGCCTCCAAGGTCCCTTCCAGCTCTATTCTATTCTACTGTGAATAATATTGTGAATAGGCCAAAGATTATAGACAAGGTAATTACCTTTCTCCTGTGGCTTTCCTTTCATCTCTTTTCAGTGGTCAAACATCTTCTTGTCAAGATACTGTAGCATGAATGGGAATAGTATGACTTCTGTACAACTGGTTCCATCCCGTAGAGTTGGAAAACTGAAATTGACATATGATCAGCAAAAGCCTGTTATTTTCTGGTCACTGCATCAGCAAAGGTCAGGTTACTGCCTCTAAAAGAAAATAGACTCATAGATAACATTTCAGAATACAACTGAAAGAGCATTTAAAAACAGCATTGCATTATTATGTTCCCCTCTTTTTAATCTGTTGATTTACTTACATAATATGATATATTCCCCATCTCTCAGGATTCTGAACAGTTTTCTGTAATAAAGATTAATGTGTATGAAAAATAAAATTAGAGGTCTGCTCTCTGCCCTTTGACCTTAAAAGGTAAAAAGGATAAAAAAGGATCTAAAAATATGGGGTGTGGAAGTTGATAGGAAACTCAGAAAACGAAGTGCTGAATGAGAGGACAAAGGCTGAGAGAGAAATACATACAATACACATTTCTCAAAACCCTCTTCTGGCAATTACCTGGTTGCTTCCAAGGAAATGGGTGATAAAGATTGTACAAACACTGAATGTTTTAGATAGTGTAGGTTAAGAGGGAAAATACTGTTTTTATTATCAGTATATTTAATGATGCCTTGTGGGATAAATTTGGGTTGTCGAGGCATGACTATCCCGTAATAAATTACAAGTGAGAACAAGACCATTATAATATATTTGAGGACAATATGAGTTGCTAATGAATTTTGCATGTGCATCTGGTTGACCATTGTGGATCCAGTCAGGATGTCTGGATCAATGGGCGTTTTGTTCTGATTTAACTTTATTCATCTTGTGTTCTCTGGATAGTTTTCAATGAAAGAACTTCCGGTGTGAGTGTGTCAGTACATTGCAGATATCTCTTGACTAGTGGGATCCAGTATATTGGCAGTCTTTAGATCAGAAATACTATTGTGCCTAGAAATCTGTAAGGTTATTAAATGTATGACTTGGCTTTGGTTGGGCTTATGGCATACTGGTCAAAATTTGCCTAAACTGGAGATATTGTTCTTACTGTTAGCAGGAAATGTTGCATCTGGCACTGGTATGACTAGGGCTAGGATCT